GGCACATTTTAGGCCTTTACTTAAAAACACTCAGCTGATCCTTAGAAAAAACCTTAGTAGTTAAATAAAAAATGCCTATATGAGCATCTTTCCTCTCTTTCTCCATTCCAAGGATTCCCTCTGCCCGAACTCCTCTTGTTTTCGTACTAAATTCCTTTTTTGAGATAGTCACTGAGCTTGTGAAGAGGAGCTCCAACCAAAAAAACAGGAAGAAGGAACAGGGAGAATGGATGAATTACAATTCTCTATCCTATCTCCAGTGGAATTATCGGACAGTAGTCTAAACCGGTTAGTATTTGTAATTGACTGGTTTGTCTGTTCACTATTCCTTTAAGTTTTATAAGGTTTAGCTTTTTGCCATTTAGGTGAGTTTGTTTCATTCTGGGAGAAGGTAGTGGTGCTAGTTTTTGAAAATTTTATTATGGAGGAATTAGAAAATATTTATTTTCAGGGTGGAAGAGGTGAGTGGGTCATCTAGTGCCGACTGACATTTTGTAACTTTAAAAAAAAAAAAATTCCCTTTTTTCTACCCCCCATTTTTCAATACAAGATTGCAAAAGGAAAAACACTTGCTTTTTTATAATACAGGTATATAATGATCTTATTTAGGCAACTCAAAACTTGCATTGGAAAAATGCCTGTAATAGCATAGGCTAAGCACTATTGTAGCCATTTTTGCATTGCACACTTATGTTACTGTAGCGTGTACACACCTCCCTCAAGCCACGCAGCCCTCCTTCGGGCGAACTGTCCGACCACTCTGCGCGGCATACTGAAGTGTACTCACCCCCCTCGTGCTACACAACTCTCCTCCTAATGCTCTGTTCGACCTCTTGTCATACTTATGGTCGTAGATAGGTTTTCTAAGATGGCACATTATGTAACCCTGTGGAAAATCCCCTCCTCAGCTGAATTAGCTAGTATTTTCTCCACAGAGGTATTCCGTCTACATGGCATACCAGTTTACTGGACCTCGCACTTTTCTACCTCCTGTATCGGTTAAGGAGTACGAGGTTGCTACTATCCTTGACTCTGGGTTCCTGAGGAGTAGTCTCCAATATCTGGTCCATTGGAAGGAGTATGGCCCTAAGCAACTTTTCTTGGTCCCTCAGGTGTATATGCATGCTCCTAGGTTGGTCCGTTCCTTACATCTCCGTCACTTGGACAAGCCTGGTTCTTCACACCCAGTGGGTGTATCCTCCCCAGGGGGGGTAATGTAGCGTGTACTCACCTCCCTCGAGTCATGCAGTCTTCCTCCTGCAGGACATCTATATATAGAAAATGTTTGACGCCACGCCCATTCTTAAAGTGACCATGTCATCATTGCGTTCCTAATCTATTTTGACTCACAATGATGACATTGACCAATCAAAACATCGGTAAGCCTATTTAAAGCTTGTTTTAGCCATCATGCATTGCCCTATTGTGGTTTCTTGCTAGATCCTCGTTTTAGTGCTCTTAGAGATTCCCTTGGGATTTCC